AGCCCTGCCTCCTCGGTGCCGCTGCCCTGGCCTCTGTGAAGACTCAGCAGCTCCTCCTGCCCGGTCGCCAGCACCCAGACGCAAGCCCTGCCAGCAGGGAGTGCCCCAAGGGAAACCTGATTTCTCCCCTGCTGCGGTGGGAGCTGGCCTGTTGGAGGCAGACTGGCCCACTGCAGAAACATTTGTACCAGAAGCTGCTCATTCCACCCCAGGGCCAAAACAAAATGCTGTTGAGCAGGAAGGAGACGTCCCCAGCCAGGCCCTCACCAAAAAACTGTGACCTGGGAGCTCAGTTCCAAAGAGCGAGAGATTGTTAGACAGGTTTCTGCTAAGAGCTCAGCTGCTGCGCATCCAGGAAACCCAATCCTTTCCCATCTCCCAGCAGCCAGTGCTCTGCTGAACCGGATCTCAGACCTGTTCTCAGGACTTTCCCATCCTGGGTGAGGTCTGCTTTTCTGGTGGTGATTGTATCTTGTGAACTAAAAATAAAATCTTAAGCCCCCTGCTAACTGAACAGGCCCTCCTCGGCCAAGGGGACCCCTGGACAAACCTTAAAACTGAGTTTCCAGGCATGACGGGACAGGAGGTGTAAAGCACAGTTACACGTGTGTTTTCTCTTCATAAACATCCATGACTCCACAGCTTGTTAAGCACGCATCTGTAGCCACCCTGCTCAGTGTGAAATCCTGTTCCTTTTTATTTCTCCCTTGAAACACAGGTTCCCGGCTTGTGGCTGAGCAGTGTTTCCCAGCTTGCCAGAATGACCATTGCATTTAAAACCACGTGGTTTTGTTTGGTTGGTTGGTTTTTTAGTTAACAATCTGGTTCTATTTCCCCAAAGCTACCCACAGACTCGCTCCTTTTCTCCACAGACTGTTGTCATTGGAGCACCTGACTCTCCCCACAGGTCAGATGCAGGTGTTGATTTGCCTACTAACAGGGGATTTGAAGTTTGCAATAACGGCTGTCTCCTGGTTATGCTGTCAGGGTAGTTTATGTGTGGTTTTATTTGATTTCCTTCTTGATTTGTACAGTTTCTTTGAGACAGTGTGAAACAATTCAGATTTAGATGGACTCCTGGAATTTAAAATTCACTCTGGAAGGATACTTTTGCTGGACATAGTCTCTAGGGTGAAACTTATATTCTTTTAATGCACTGAAGATACCTTCTTGCACTTTTGTTGAAGAAGTCTTTACTCAAATAAACAGCCATTCTAAGGAAATTATCTTTCTTCTCCAATAGCTTCAAGAATTTCTCTCTGTATTTAGTTTAATTTACTATGATAGGTTTACATGTAGTTTTCTTATGGTTTATTCTCATCAGGATTCCTCTTGAATTTCTGAATTGGTGTATTCCAGTAGTTTTGGAAAGATCTATCATTCTCTCTTCAAATTCTCATTTATTCTCTCTCTTCTCCTTCTATGACTCCAAAGTGCATTAGGCTTTCTAACCATATCCTGTGTATCTCTTGCTTTCTTTATTTTCCATATTCTTAACTCTTCATATTTAACTATGGCTATTTTCTGCCAATTCACTAATTTTCTCTTTAGCTGTGTCTAATTTGTTAACCCTATCCACTAAATTCTTGCTTTTGGTTAGCATATCTTTCAATTCCAGAAATCCTATGGGGTTACTTTTCAAATTTCTTATGCAAAACTGTACAGCTTCCTATTCCCTGTAGCCATAGCCAAGCTTCTCTTCTTTCATTTCTTCATACGCATTCCAGCAAGGATAACAGTTACAAAAGCTCAACATTTTGTGGGCCTGTTTCTATTATTTGTTTGTTCTCACATAAGGAGTCTTGAAAAGACTTTGTTTTGCTTCTCACAAGTATTCTGGGAAACTCCAGTACAGAGTCAACATAACTGAGGTTCAAACAATCCTGGTCCTCCCAGGTAACTCGAACCTAGACTGCCAAGACTTTACGAGGGCTGTATCACTTCCACCTTACCCTGACATATCAACTCCTGGGTCTCAGACGGTGTAAGGGCATTTCTCTGACTCCCTATCCTGAGAAACCTAGGGTGTGACCCATTCACTCCAGGAGGATGACAAACTGCAAGTCACTTTGGGATTATTTCTTCTGGATCAGGAAATGCCCAATGCCCTCAGAGTAACAGCGGCTTCAGTGCTGGTATGATCTCTCCAGGTCCCCGCATTCTAACCCAGGAAGTTCCTGATATCTTGACAGCAGTTCAAAGCTTTAAAGGAATTTATTTTCTTCTTTCTTTCTCTCCCCCACTCCCTCCCTCTCTCTCTCTATTTTGCTTTGTTTGCTGACTTTAAACAAACAAAAAAAACTTATCTAGATATTCTGGTTGTCTTTGGTGAGAAACTTGGTCCTAATTATCTAGGTTGCTACTACTTGAAGCGGAAGTTTCTCCTACTCTCACCTTTTCCTTTAATTTCATATTAAGTGGCTCAAGTTGTCATGTCTCATTCTGTGGCAAGTTCTACAATTTCTGCCCCAAAGATGACGGGAAATCCCCTGGGCTCGCCTCCCTCTTTACGTGCCGCCCAGCCCCAGCACACGCTCCCCAAGGCCGGCGCCCATCCTCCCCTCCACGCAGCTTCCACTGCAGACGCAACCCTCCTTCACTCACAGCACCTTCGCGTGTGCGTGGAAGACTTTCGCTGAAGGTTTAGGATGACAGAGAGGGAATACGGCACTCCCCGAATCAGGAAACTACTTAAAGGTGCTTTGCCCACGCCTTACCTCAAGAAGATAAAAGAGCGATGCTGTCTGTCTTGTGCTCTTCCCTCTCACTACCTCACTGCGCTGCCCTCTGCCCACCCCAAGACCTTGCTCTTTCTCCATCACTCTGTTCTCTTCTGACTTCTGAGCCCTATCCTTACAACACTACTGCTAAATCCCTAAAATCCCTTTAGCTTTACTTTGCAAAGCAATTCGGGTCTTTTCTAAACTATTCCCTTCTGGGCCATGTCCATAAAACCTCACCTTTCTTAATCAGCAAGTCCATGAAGGTGCTTTCCTTCACTAGTGTCAAAATTTTCTGAAATAAACGCTGCCCTTCTCCCAGAACGCAGAAAAGAAGCAGAGGTTTTTATTTTTAAAGGAATTTTTTTTTTTTAGAATATCCTCTGCTCTTAACAAAATCTTTATAGACCCTACGAAGGTTCTAAGCCCACAGGTTCTCTCTCCCAGGGGTGAGTGGTGAAGCAGAAGTGGGGGCTTCGGGCAGCTGAGGCCCAAAGATGCTTCTCCCAAGTGGTTGCTGAGGGATGACGGCTCCCACCAGTCAGAGTCCTAACTCTATAAATTCTATATATTTCCTGCTTTGAAAGCCTGGGTATTCTTATTTTGAGGCCATCAGAGAAATTCTTTAAGATTTCATTAGAAGAACAGGAACTAACAGGTCATACAATTTAACCTATTACACCAACAAATCTTCTCTTTTGTGAAGAACTGATCCTTTGAACAAAAAATTGCAGGATAAAAATGGCCTACTCAGAAGCTGCACTGAAAATAAAAATATGATTTACTAAAAGGTAAAGATTTGGTTGGGGCCCCTTTGGTTGTTGTTGCTGGTCTTTCAAACAATCATCCAGCAAATCTGCAGTGTGCTTCCTTCTAGACCACAGCACCAGAGAAAATCAATTCCGGCATTTCCCAAACTGGAGCACTAACCACAACTTTCTAACCTCTAAGAAAATATAAAATATGCCTTCCAGGGGACACGAGAGGAAAAGAAGAACCTGCTATGAAAGTGTAATTCACATCTACTGCAAATCACATTTCAAAGAACTAAACGAGGCTGGGGAACACTTGTGGAAGTGTTGGTAGAGAAAGAAATCCAACCGTGTCCAAACAAGCTCTCACTGCGAAGTAGACAATAAATGTACATAAATGCACCTACAGAGGCAAAAACCGGAATTTTGAATAGACAGGTTGGAAAGTAGCTAAATATAATACTGAATCAGATAAAGTATTGTTGGAAGAACCGTATAAAACTTCATAATATAGAGATTAGGTAATAACCATCAGATTCAGTCAAGGAACAAAATGCAGTTTATAACTCGTATGACTCCATTTTATAACGTCAGTCCGCAGGCTCCCAAAGCAGGAGCCCTTCCTTGAGGACTGACGTCACCGCTTTCTCCTGCCAAAGGTACAGCGAGGGACGAGGGTGGTCAGCTGCAAGCACTCAGAAGCCTATCGCTAGGGCTGAGTTTTAAACGAAGCACAATTTCTCTGTATGTTCAGTGAAACGTTTGCCAAGCTCACACAGGACTCCCTACGAAAGAACATGCCTCTTTCCCACACCCCATCACTGACCAGCTGGTATCACAAACATGTGCCTGGCTCTGCTTGGCATCACTTTGTTAATGCTCTGTTCATTAATTTAACGAACTATCAGGAGAATTATGCCTGGAATGGGCAAGCATTATCTCTCAACTTTCATTTAATTAAACTCTGCTACTGCAGTATGACAGTCAGCGCATCACAGGGGGAATTATTTTAAGGATGAAGGTAAAAAGTATTTCAAAGCCCCCACTTAAATATGAAAGCATAATCTAAAATTGCCTGAGCACACACTATAATTTTTCTATAATATTAAAGATGTTATTTCCAGACTTGGTAATTAATTGGATTCCATGGAGAAATTATTCTAGCATCCTTGATAGAAAAATGATGCACCAAGGCAGGGAACAGAGTACCAAAGGACACCCATAAACAACCACTGTCGCCCAGATTATGACAATCACAGGGCTTAATAAGGAGTGAGTGCTGCCTGCTTCTGGTGCACACTCATTACTTTCCTGCAAAGCAAACGCACTGATTTCTGATCATATCGCCGTAATGAAAAGGAATGAGAGCAGCTCATGCTCCAGCAGCTGCCTGGGAAGCATGCACAGGAGTGATCGCAAGCAGGCCAGGGTGCTGCTGGCTGAATGAGAACAGCTTCCTGTCATGCTGAGGGCTGGGGGCCACCTCCCCCTTCCTCACAGAGAGGGGCTACTCAGGAAGCTGGCTTACCGTCAATCCGGCTCACGAGTTCTTCCAACATCTTCACTTTCATTTGAATCCCAGGTTGGGCAAAGGTGTAGTTGTCCTAAGGAAAAAATAATATAGTGTATCATATGCATATAAAATAAAACATTTTCTAAAGGGGAAAAAGGCAGAATAAAAATGAGCAGGTTTATAACAGAACAAATTCACAAGCTGAAGATTTTATCTTGAGAAACGAGAACACACACTGCACAGCAGGGCCCACGTGCGAGCCACTGAGTCTCCCTCTGAGAAGGGCAAGCCCGGCACCTCCTGATGTCAGAGGACGAGCAGGCAGGCGTCGGGAGCACTGCATGGCACATGCCCATCCGTAAATGTGATACGTCTACGCTGAAATTGAGCAAACAGGCACCCACACTTACAGCTCATTGAGTATACCTGTCTGCAGGAACTGACCACCTTGGCGGCCCCTGGACCACACGTACTCAGCACTGCCGGGAGCCCGTGGGAAATGGCAAACGTGCCTGGCGCTGGCAGTGCCAGCATCATGCCCACGACCCAAGTGCTCCTGACACGGGCACTGCATGGGGATAAAAGGTAAGCGTGTGACTTTACTCACAGAGATATAACTAGGTGAACTCAGGCAAAGTTCATAAACTAAGACAGGAAACTCTGTGTAGCCTCAAGGAGGAGAGGGCCTGGGCAGGTTTAAGCCAAACGGACCAGGAATGGGACTCCAGCTCTATAACTTAGGAGCTGTGCAACCTTGGCAAATAACATAACCTCTCTGGGCTTCGGTTTCATCATCTGTAAAGTGAGAATAATAACACACTGCCTTCTAGGACTGTCTAAAGCTTCAAGGAAATGATGTGGGTGGAACGTGGAAGAGGTTTAAAGATACAGTCAGTGCTCGGCCTCTGATGGACTCATTTACTGTGACCGTCACCACCCAGGAGAGCACAAGCACGTGCTGGGGCACATGGCCAGAGAGGATGACATCCTGCCTCATCCCACGGTGGGGACGCACAGCGCGGCTCCTGGCGGTCGGGAAGCGGAGGGCGTTCCCCACAGAGACGGCCCTTAGAGCCTCAGCCAGTGCTCAGGGCCATCGCCAGGAGGTGGCTTTTGACTGGACGCACGCAGCAACAGACCTAACACACTCGAGGACAGTGAGTGTGGAAGGCGGAATGATAACCACCCCCAGGACGCCCACGTCCTGATCCCTGGAACCTGTGAATGTGTCACCTTACGTGACAAAGGGAACGTAGGTTGCGGATAGAACTAAGGTTGCTAACCAACTAAGGCTAGGAAATGAGCCCGGATGATGCGGTGGACCACTGCCATCACGGGGTCCCTAACAGTGGGACAGGGAGGCAGGAGGGTGAGGCAGAGTGAGGCCACGTGAGAGGGACTCGACCTCCGCCACTCACCTCGCTGGTGGAGGAAGCGCCAGGAGCCTCTGGAGCTGGGAAAGGCAAGGAATGGACCTACCCGAGCCCACAGGAGGAATGCGGCCGCTCTCACCTTGAATTTAGCCTCGGGAGGCCCACACCAGACTCTGACCTCCAGAACTGAGACAACAAATCTGTGTTGTTTTAGGACACTAAGTCTGCGGTAATTCCTTACGGCAGCAATAACAACTAACGCAGGGGCTTTAGAGGATGTTCTTTACTGGGGCCCCCGACACCCACCAGGAAATGAGGAAAGAAGAGACTGGGAGGCACCAGTGACAGCGTGTGTTCTTGTGCGGACTGGGCTCAGGCTCTGAACTCTTTAGTGAGCAGACAGGGCCTCTGGAGACTAGCTTACAGCAACTGTCCCAGAGAGTGACACTGGGGAAGGCCTCAGGAGCCTTGGCAAGGGAAAGCCAGGCCCCTGGCCTCAGTGAGGTCACAGGTAACAGGGCCTAGGTCTGGACAGGAGGTGCTGGGCGCAGGCAGCTGCAGCTCACCAGGCACGCTCGGGCCCACTGAGCAAGGCCTTGGTCACAGCAAGCTGAGTGGCTGCAGCCTTTCAGATGATGGGGGACGACCCTGCTGCCTGTCCATCTGAGGACATGTGGCTGGGGGCCGGGCAGTGCAGAGCAGCTACAGACACTGCGCCCAGCATTCGGAGCCCGAAGGAAAGCGAGGGACTGTCCTGGACCCGATGTGCCTTATCGGCAGGCTCAGGACTGGAAAGCACTCAGAGAACAACACTCCTGGGGGTGGCCGACCATGCAGACGTCATGCCCACAGAGCTCACAGGACCCGATCGTGGAAGAAGGATGACAGAGCACACAGCAAAGGCATCGGCCCTCGGCAGGCCCTGGGGACGTGGTAACAGCACGCACAGGACCTCCAGCTCCAGAATCCGGGAGGGAGACCCCAGGTGAGACAAAGTGGAGCTGAGAAGACAGCCTTCAGGCCAGCAGCAGTTTCCAAGGCCGCAAAGTCAAATGTGAAAAGTAGAAAAGCATGTGACAGTCTTCACTCTCTAAGCGTTTCTCCCTCCTGCCCTCCCTCTCTCCCCATCTCTCGCACGCATGCACGCGCGCACGCACGCATGCACACGACATTTCCTAACAAGAGCAGGTGCAGCAGCCACTATGGCACAGAACTAAAAATGCCTGCAAGGCATTGAGGATTTTTTCCCCAGAAATGGAAAATGAACAGAGTCAAATGTACCCCCTTGCTGGGAGATTTCTCCCAGGTGGATTTCAAGTGACAGGCTCTGGATTCCAAACTGTCACATCTCTGCAACAGTAAACCAAGAAGAGCTCCGTTTGCCAGCTTCTCTTAGAATGATGCCAAGGCCCTACCGTGATTTCGGGCGGAAGGAAGGATGCACTCTGGGAACAGGATCTTATTTAGGATGACTGCCCGGGGGGCCAGGGGATGATTTGTTTTCTAGATTTAGTGAGCCAATTCTGTGATAAGCGTGTGGGTCCTCCTAACATCTGAACTCTGGAGAAGCAGGGGCTGTCTGAGGCTCAGCATCCAATGGCCAGGACTCTGGGCCCTGAGGAACAGCCCTCTAGCGGAGACAGCGCCGCGGCAGAAGTTGAGGACTAACTCTGAGCTTTAATATATTTGAACTTTAACAGGAGTAAGAAATTTTGGTTCTGGACTTTAATTCCTTTGAATGTCATCATCTTTAGACCTGAACTTGCAAAGGTTAGCCTTTAAGACTTAATTTCTCCCCACAGACTGGATAACAGAAGGAGATTTATATTCAGATTTGGGGCATACTGTGTTGTTGGAAGTTTATATGCTGTCATTTAACCTCATAGAGCAATTTCTGATGAGCCAGGTTGAACAATACAGCTGGACAGAATTGAGGGTGAGAAATAAACTAGAGGGTGGTTTTGCAGCCTTGGGTGCAGAGAGGCCTTCCAGATTATTTAATCAGTGTCCTATTCCGACAAATTTCAGAGCCATCGAACTGGACTGCGGATCTCCTCCACGCCGAGGGCAGTGCCCTGGCCGAGCAGGGCCTCGTGGTTACGCGATAACAAACAGACCTGGGTGTGCTCGGGGGGGGCCCAGCTGTTGCCTCTCCCAGACTCTCTGTCCCCAGAATTACTCGCCCAAGGAGGCGACTTACGCTTTGCTAAGCCTGGGGGATAACTGGGCTGTGGGCTCCGCCCCCCGCCACCTCGAGAGCCCCCGTCCTCCGCCCCACGGCTCCCGTGCACCTGAGGATGGCTGTCCCGGCTGGGCGAGCCTGAACAGTCCTGGAGTCAGCCAGCCGGTTTATGGGGCTCTCACACTAAAAAAGGATTTCAAGTCTCTCATTTAGCAGAAATAAAAATTATTCTTTGGCTTCCATCTGCCACTATTTGTTTTATTTCTCAATTTGTTCAAAACCAAGGTAGAGAAGATGAGTTCTCAGAAATCCAAACGATGAGAAAAGAAAGACACCTGAGAGCTTATAAAAAAAAAATCCATATTTTGAAAAGACCGGCAGAGACTGACGGGCACAGACTGACGGGCACAGCCCTGCGTGGTGCCGTCTGCAGGCCGAGGACAGGGAAGACCAGCCCCAGCCGGGCTGCGACAGCGACGACGGGACTGAACCACGGAGGCAAGAACCGCCGCAGCCCAGGCACAGAGGACGTGGTCGGTCTGGACCCTCCGGTCTCGAGCAGTGAGTCCGGGCTGCAGCAGGCCCTGCTCGGTGGCCAGGGAGCCTTCAAAGGGCTCTCCAAGGACACAGAGGCCACAGCTGAGGAATCGGAGCCAAACAGCTGGGAAGGCGTGAGGAGAAAAGAAAGTTCCTCGGCCCCGGCAACAGCTTCCCTCAGAAGGCGCTGGCCACTTCGGCCCTACTAGGTGCCTGCTGCTGCCCACCCTGGGCTCCCCAACGCCTCTGGGCAGACCCTGGGTTCTCACCCCGGGATACCCCGGCCAGCACCAACTCCACACACCCGAACACACCCGCGCCGCAAATGCCAGACTCAGAAGCCGTGTGCTGCCTGAATATGTGAATGGGCAGAAAAATAGGAATTAAGTAAGAATAACGTATACTCATAAAAATATTAATAGTAATAATATTAGTATTATTCCCTTCATAAAAAGTAAACATGTATTCTTTCTAATTGGGATTTTTATTTTGTGTCTTTCAAAAAGGATATAATTCACAGAACTTATGGATCAGGGGGAAGAAAGGAAGGTCTGAGGAACACAATGACCTTTTATGAAACATTTTACAGAAGGTAAAGTTGGTATTGGTAGGAAAAATCAAGAAAACACACTCAGCGTGCCTCACATCTGTCACCAACCCTGGCAGTAACAAAGGACGCTGCCTGTGCTCTTCAGGGCAAAAGCAGAATAATCATCTGAAAGAGCGTTTTGGGGAAGAGTGAGATATAAATTCCTGTCGGCTTAGTTGGAAAGACCCTGAGCCCCTCCCATCACACCTGCAGCCCAGAGAGAATTAAGAACCCCTCCTGCGTCTCTGACGAACGGCTCTTCCAACTGGACCAGGGATCCTCCTCCCCACGGAGTCCGGCATCCCCTTTCTAGGACAATCTCACTCCAATCAAGTTTCTTTCCCATGCTGAAACCAAGTCTGCCCTCCTCACCCAGGCCTGGACCTGCCTCCGAAACAGCTCAGAAAGTC